GCTTGAAAAATCATGTATTTAAAAAAAAAACACCACTTGACTGCGGTCCAAATTGCGTGCACATATTCTTTAATCATTTAACCAGCCAGCGACAATGAAAATAAATAAGTTAATAAATAAATAAATACATAAATAAGTCATCATTTAAAGTACAAAAACTAACTTAAACATGTTCAGGTACGAGTGCTGGATTAAAACGAGAAATAAGGAGAATTATTGTAATATCCTCGAGACATGTAGGACCTTGGCAACTGTCTTGAACATTTGCGAGAAACTTTGCCACGTAAGAGAATCGCCCGCCTTGACACTGACCAATCGATGATGCGCGTGTTCACCGTGCAAGTTAGCCGAACATTGGCCAAACACACAACCAAGCGCGAATACCCGCGAACACTGCATGAAAATCAACTGGAATTGTCTCCGGCTCTTCATTAAAAAACTAAAATTTCAGGTTAGACCGAAAATTCTTTGATATGCTAGGACGTGGTGAGAGGCATACTATGTTCGTGGTAAAAAGGCCTTTTTCGTCCCGGCGCTGAAATAATCATGCCATCGGCCACAATCAGCTTGAGGTGCCGACTGCTGCTCTCCTCCAGAGGCACGTGCTTGCTGCTGGTGTTTGCAGCTCAACAGAAAAGCCACGTGGGCCTCTTATACCACCCCACTCTCCTAGAGACATTTTAAAATTCAGACAATAATGCAATCTAGATTTGAAGCTTTTATGACAGCAAGGATTCATATTCTTAGGTTTTTCGGTAAAGTCACGTAGTAAAATTTTTTTTTATATAATAATAGAAATAATAATAGAAAAAAATCTGTGATTTATTATTTTATTTCAATGATTATCTCTATTATTTTATTATTTTATTTCTTTTATTATTATTTTTTTCCTACGTGACTTTACCTAAAAACCTAAGAGTAATAATGCAATCGCCAACCCTGACAATTTAAGCTGGAGGAAGCACATTTAAAAAAATCCATTTTACCGCATAATATTCAAAACAAATACGTGATAAACAATTGAAACTAAATTTTTATTTTAAGCTACTCTGAGAATCAGTTTGCGGTATAAGGATTTTAAATAGGCGAACACCACTTCCATGGGTAGGGTTGGTGAGTGTGCAGGAGTCATTGAGACTAGGAATTTCAGACTGGAAATTCTAAATAGCCGAACTTGAATTTTTTAGTTCTCCCTCTACTGTCTTGCATATGATGTCGAGTGTATGCCAGACTGGTAACTATTCAATGGGTTTTGGTTTGCGCAGACAGAAAGATTGAAATAGCCTAATGTAACAATTTCTAGAGCTTAAATGTACAAATGAACTCTTCTCATTTGCCAGTGAGTATGGAAGCGTCGCCTATTACGTACTTTTCCTTCAAAGGCATTGCTATGAGGTTGAATTGAGAGTTCATTCAGCATGAGGATTGCTTTATTCCTAAATGAAATGTCAACGTGAAAACGCAGCTAATTTAAAGGTACTCAACCGCTGACAGCATTTGTTCTATATTGCACGTGATGAGTCTAATGACCCTGATAATTAAGATGTCACTCCACTCCTTGCTTTAACACCACCGTTCCCAATATTTCAGCCTTTGCAGATTTACCAGTTGTCATTAAATAAAGACAAAGATTGCCCTGTATAGCTTTAACAGAAATAACACACGTTAAATAACACGCAAATACACATACACACACACCCAAAAATATCCTCACCATATTGACGTTGACACGCACGTTGGTAGTGATGCGCGCAGTTCATGAGCACACTCATGATAAAACATGTCATTCATAAGTACACATTGTACGCATCAAATAATAACGACACAAAAATGTTCACGATCGAACGCACAGCGTAACGCTCGGGTCAGAGGCGACAGTGTGGCACAGCACGGGACGAGGGTAAGAGATTTCGCCATTCAGGAGATGCGCAGTTCCAGTGAGGCTCCTCGCTGTGACACCCACCAGAACCGGCCCTAGACCTTTGGGGACCCTAAGCAAAATTTGGTTGGAGGCCCCTTTGATGTATGATTTTTTTCACCCACTAGCTAGCAGTGACTCTAGGGGGCCCTCTGCTGGCCACGGGGCCCTTTGCAATTGCAAGGGTCGCTTAGTGGCTGGGCCGGCTCTGCACCCACCAAGAGTCCCAGCACGTGAAACGAAACTCCGGACTCAAGACCAAACTTTTTTTTTAACCTAAATATGTATTTTGAACTTCTTTCGCACCGTACGTAGCCCGCCGTGCTATTCGGAAGGCGCGATTGAGCACCGATGCCCAACGCTGACCGTCTCCTGTCAATGAGATGTGTTGTGCCATACCCTGTCGTACGTTTGTCTGTCTTCGCTGCCCTGCGGTCTCCCACCTCCTCACAACCACCCTCCTTTTGAACGAACTCCTGTTTTGTTGTGGTTTCCAAATTCTACAAGATGCAGTTGCTATACCTGTGGTCCTTTTGATGCCCATGTGACCAGATTATTTCGTTGTCCGCCAATGTGAGATGGCAGTCGAGTTTAGGCTCTCTAAAAATCTAAGTTGCAGTTGCAAATTATATTCGTGTAGAGTGTATCGCAACTGCATCACAAGCTAGATGCTGCGCTAAATGTTACTATTCTGTATGCCAATATGTTCAAGAAATATACACCAATGTCGAGGCCTGCTAGCTACAATGGAGCTTCTGGAGATAGTTTGTGCAAAACACTAATTCAAGGGTAATGATTTTCTCTCTTGTTTCATATTCCAACCCTGTATGATATTTTTAAACTGTTGTTGTTATTATTATTAACACGTGTTTAATAAACGTGTATTTGTCTTCCAGACCTTTAATCTCAATGGGCTGTCACATGGTCTAAAAAATAAGATTGAAAATATTAGGATGTGCATCATGGGGACCACCGAAAGGTGATGCTGTGTGTAGGGTAGCAGCAGCCAGAGGCACTTAACAGAGAGTCAGTCAGTCAGAGAAGAGAGTCAGTCAGTCAGAGAAGAGAGTCAGTCAGTCAGTCAGAGAAGAGAGTCAGTCCGTCATTGACCCAGGAGAAGAGGAAAGTCTTGAGTCCGAATTTGAACGATGAGAAGAAAGAGTTCCAGTTTCGGGGAGCACCATCAGCAGCAGAAAACGAGAGACCGACCGCCAATTGTGTAAAGAAGGTTGACAAAGGGGGTTTGCAGCCACTAACCACTTATAAGCTTGTGTTATTGTGGTTCCAAAAGATCTACAAGGTATGGTCTGTCGACTGTATAGCAACGCCGCAGAAATGACTAATTTCATATTGTAATTTGATGAGAAAAATATATAATTTGTTATGGTCGCATAAGGCTATACTCGGTGGCTTTTAATGGGTCCGCAATCAGCTCTAAATGAATCATCTCATTATTTTGTGATGTATAAGACGGCCGGAAATTGCGACGTTGTTTCACGCGTGATTCGTAGCGCAAGCCCCTATTAAGTACAATACGCCCCCTAAAGTCGGCATGTGATAGGATTTAGAAGGCAGTGACATTGTAAGTTTTATAATAAGGTTGAGGATATCTCTCGTTCTTCAAAATTGATACGTCACCTTTATACAATTAGAGCATTACGCCCGAATTATGTGTAACGGGAGGCGTTATTTGCTTATCACGCCATCGTCGGCCGAGTTTGTATCCTCAAAGTGGCTCTGTAGGAACATGTTGCAAGAAGGTATTGCAAGATTCTCACGTGACAATCACTCGCAAACATCTCAAGGCTGGAGAACAATTGGCACTCCAACTCAACATTGTTCTATGAGAGGCGTTTCTCAATTTATAGTCCTATTCAACTGTCAGAAACTCTGCTATCAATGTAACGTAATTAAACAAGGCATAAAGCCCATGCACCCCTTGAACTCCCATCGGCCGTTCCATTGGCAGCTGTGTAAAACCTCACAAACAGGTATTTTTGACATGTGAGGAATCACTGTTGGATTCTGCGCATCATTTTGCGTCTGGAACGCTCTTTCTTGCAATATTAGGAAGCCACTGGAGCTATGTACTTTTAAATTAGATTGAAAAAAATAATATGATAGAATTGCTTTGTGTGTTTGGTTTGTTGTCCTTCCCCTGCAACTTCGATTGGCTACGTATGGGATGAAAGAAGTTAAACGTACATACATTTGCCGCCTAAAGGTTTCGCCGCTTCAATAACGTGCCGAATGAACGAGTGGCAGGTCCATGTCTGACACGGGCCCTGGGTGCAGGCAATGAGATTGAGACCCCCAACTCGATCGCTCCACCAGTGAGTCAATGAATGGGACCAACTATTGAGCTTAAGCCTAATGCAACATGCTCACTGCGTTATCACAAGGGATGAACCTAAGAATATGAATATATATCTGTTGGGATTCAGATAATTATTGAGATTCAGCGTCAGGAAGTTCAATTCAGGGGTCCGCATATACGTTTTTGTTTTTTACATTGTGGCGAATGTAGCGGTCTCTGGCGGCTGGAGTAGTCACGCCAAACCATTGCAAGGCGACCAGAAACTCTGTCACGCGCGCGGATCGACACGTGTTGCCGCGAGCTGAAGAAGCGACGTCAACCAATGAATCAACGTGACCGTGACACCCCGAGTAATGGTTGCGGATAAACCAAAAACAACAAAAAAAACCAGAGGGCCGATGGCAGTGTGGTAAGAGAGTTGAAGCTCTCTGAATGACCTGCAAGTGGCACATCGGCCCCCTTGCGTTTCTCGGCCGCAAAAAAAGAAGGTTGCTCACGTCTCGATGTCTCTCGTTGGAGGTTGTGCGAGGAATGCCTTCGACGACAAAGGCAGCGGCGATTCTCAGCCACTCTGCATCAACGGCGCTCATAGAAATCCACGGCAGTCCTCGATTGCCTTTTTGTTTCTCCCCCCCCCCAAGCGTACTCTGCAGGCTGCTACGCGGTTCTACTTTTAGAAATGTTATTTATTCATTAGCTGTACGGTATTACGGGGGGGGGGGGGGTGTCGCCGATTGTTTTAATCTGTCTTTAATCCAAACCTAATTGTGTTTACGGGTCTTCCCTAGTTATTTTGTTAAACAGTGTGCAGCATTATTCGTTTATACTTTTTACATTGACGAGTTTTACAGCACTGAATCTCAGCGGTCTTTGAATGTATTTGTCTCCTTGAGCGCGTGTCTGTTCCAGATCTCCATCCTTTACTACACGTGTATGTTTATCATTCTGGTGGCTGTGCATTGCATCCTGTTTGGCAAATTGTGCATTATTAATCAAGTTAATGGCAATGAACTAAATAATCGAAGACCATTATATACATACTATCACTGGCATTAGTGAGCCACCAATTAATATCACTGCTGCCGTGGATTTCTAATGAATAAGGCTAGTCAATCATCTGCCGCGTTAAGCATTTCCACGTAAAACAAATAGTATGTTTTTTTTACTTTGGCCTATTCGGCTTCCAGACTTGTGTTAACCGGCAGCATTTTGAATAAACACGTAAACTTTGAACTGGTTTTGCCCTACTAGGGCTGATCAGCAGGGTCAAGTGTCTTCTTTCAACATCATGGGCCATCAGTGCAAAATGCACTCCAAATAGATTTTTTTACGGACTGCCCATGGCATAGAGAGAGCCAGAGGGCACTTACCAACAACATCTGCATTTGTTTAGCATGATTGACTGCTGACGAGCCCCAAAGAAGCTGGGCATTCTACTTTCATGCGGAGACAGTGTCACGGAAAGGAGGATTTACTAAATTGACGCCAGTAGGCGCACTGCCGATGGGACATCATCGCCCGCGACACCGCGTGCCCGAATACCGCCGCGTAATAAATGTGGTCCATGTACAACTTCTACGTGGGCTCGCAAATTCGCTCGCTCGCTCGCCCGCTCGCATTAACGCCACGTGACAGACCTCGCGTTGCGCGCACCCTTGCCCAGCACGCGCGGCGCGTGCTGCCTGACCACCCCTTTGCTCGCCACCGCCGCCGCCGCCACCTTCCCGTGTCTCCACGTGGGGCCGTTGGCGTCCGTCTCCTGCAGGGACAGCGCGCGCCGATGGGCGAGCGCCTTCCCGGACGCCGGGTTCTTCATCGGGGGGTGCCCGACGGCGCCGGCGGCGGCGGGGTCAACCGCGCGGGCTCTCCCCCAGGGGAGCAAGTGGGAGGACGAGGCCGCACCGGCGGCGTCTGTGGCTGCGGCTGCGAGGGAGCGTGGGGCGTGGGAGGCCACGCGGTTGGCATCGCGTCCCATGGCCGTGTGCACCTCGCCCACCACGGACTGGACCCAGAGGCGGCGGCCCAGCTCCTGGAGCACGCGGCCCTTGTCGTGCATGAACTGTTGCTCGGCCACGGAACGGCGTCTGTGTCGGGTCGTTGCGCGGGGAGAGAGACAATCGGAAGACGCGCGTCACGTGGAAGAAGTTTAAAGTGCGGTTAAGTAGTCGTTGAACAACAACAGTAATTATAAAACGCCGCAACTTTACTGCGAATTGTTTAGCATGTCAGAAGACGCCAGAATACACACGCAAGGGAGCGAGACGACTCAGAGATCTGAGAAAGAGAGATTGAATAATATCATTCACGTGCTAAACCTGCACAGCCTCCCAAGATGTGATAGCATCCGGAGCGTTCACGATGATTTGGTCAGAGGTAATATAACGAAATCATGAATTATTGTAATTATAAAAATTAAATAGTTATAATGAATAATAATGTTATATTTAACGACATTGTATTCAATAATTATACATTTGAATGATTATAACCGATAATAGCTACAATAATTTCATGAGAATAGGTTTTACCCTTTTTGCCAATAAAACAGTTGTCTTTATTTCGATTTAAAGCTTTCGTGACTGCAGGGATCCATCTTCTTGGTTCTTTCGGTAAAGTCACGTAGAAGGGAAGCAATATCATATTATTTTATTATATTATTATATTATTTTATTATGTTTTATTTTTATTATTTTATTGCTTCCCTTCTACGTGACTTTACCGAAAGAACCAAGAAGACAGTTGTCTTTATATTTGAATTAATCTATGATGTGTGTAAAAGTGTGATTGTTACGTGTGTGAGTGTGTGAGTATTTTTATATGGATAATTGTGAGCGTCTGTGTGTCTGAATGTGCATGTACATATTTGAGTGTCTTTCTATGCATGAATGTGTGTCTCTGTGTGTTTCTGCGACCCTGAGGATCTGAATATGAGTTTGTGTGTTTGACTGCGTGAGTGTCTATGTGTACAAGTGTATGAATGTGACAAGTGTGTGAATGTGTGTCTCTGTGAGTGGGTTAATGTCTATGATGTGATGACTAAGCATAAGTCTGTGATTGTGTTTGAGTTTGTGTCTGTGAATGTGTCTATGTGTTGAGCGTGTGTGAATGTGTTCATGACTAAGTGCGTCTGTGAGCGTGTGTCTCTGTGGGTGGGACAGTAGCGTAGTGGTTCACGACAAACACGACGACCGGAGTTCCATTGATGGCCAACATCAGTGGCGAATGTCTGAACCGATCCTGGGCCAACCCTAAGTCGACTCAGCCTCAAATGGGTACCTGGTGCGACGTGTAAACATCGCCACTGGGGAGACAAAGGTGGCCGGACTTGGGACTGGCCACCCACCCCTTCGTGTGCAGTGCCAGACTTCATAGGTGCTACTTTGCTAGCAGCACTTGCCCCAAAAGTCTACTAATTCTATACGGGGGATCTTTGTCTGTGAGAGAATATGTGTGAGTATAAGCGTGGCGAGCGGTGGTGGCACACGCCTGTAATCGAGCACCGAGGAGGTGTAGGTTGGTGGGTCGCACAGATGTTGTAAAACTCCCATTCTGTGGACGTAGAGGCGCCGTACCCGTGGCTTGCCAGGGGAATGCGTTACAGCCAAAATGCGGACTCACGTTTTCAGAATGCAGCACAGCGAAAGTGTGCACTCACATTTGTGCACTCACATTTTCGCTGTACTGCATTCTCGTGGCATGGGATAGAGTGCGCCCCCCCCCCTCGAACCAGGTACAAAAATAACCTGGTGAGGTGTATAAACATTGGGGAGACAAAGGCGGCCGGGCGTGGTGCTGGCCACCCCACCCCTGCCAGTGCACCGTGCCGGCCTTCATAGGCGCTGCTCGCAAACAGCAACTTGCCTCCAACAAGTCCTTTGTCTGTGTGTGTGTGTCTGTGTGTGTGTCTGTGTCTGTCTTTGTCTGTGTGTGTGTCTGTGTGTCTGTGTGTGTCTGTGTCTGGTGCGGTGTGTAAACATCGCCACTGGGGAGACAAAGGCGGTCGGGCGTGGTGCTGGCCACCCACCCCCTCGTGTACCGTTCCGGCCTTCATAGGTGTTCGCTAACAGCACTTGCCCCTACAGTCTGTTAAGGCTATACGGGGGATCTTTATCTTTGTCTGTGTCTGTGAGTGTCTGTGAGTGTCTGTCTGTGAGTGTCTTTGTCTGTGTGTGTCTGTGAGTGTCTGTGTCTGTGAGTATCTGTGTCTTTGTGTGTCTGTGTCTTTGTCTGTGAGTGTCTGTGTGTGTCTGTGTGTGTCTTTGTCTGTGATTGTCTGTGTGTGTCTGTGTATGTGTGTGTCTTTGTCTGTGTGTGTGTGGGGAGCGGCGGTGCAGCGGTTAGCGCTACGCTGCACTAGGAACCTGGCGACCAGGGTTCAATTCCCACTCACGACCAACACCGTTGACAATTATCTGACCCGGTCCTGGATCTCCCCTAGGTCGACTCAGCCTCAAATAAGTACCCGGTGCGATGTGTGAACATCGCCACTGGGGAGACAAAGGCGGCCGGGCCAATGGTGTTGGCCACCCACTTCCTCGTGTGCCGTGCCGGGCATTCACATGCGCTTGCTAACGGCACTTGCCCCGACGGTCTGTTGAGTCTAGACGAGGGGATCTTTGTCTTTTTTAAATCCTTTCTATTAAGTTCGCTTGCTTGCTTGCGTGCTTGCTTGCGTGCTTGCTTGCTTGCTTACGACCGTGCAAATGTTTCGGTCGTTTTTTAACCCACTTCCCGTGATCCAATCGAGCTGACATTTTGCACACAGACTCGTTGTGCGAGACAATTAATGTTCGTGAAAATTTTTTTTCCAAAATTTTACACTGTTTAGGGAAAACAAATTAAATATTTAATTACCAATTGCTTAATACTGGCAGACAATCATCTGACCCATAGGTGGCAGCCATCTCAAGCCAGAGGACGAGAGGACTCTAGCCGCCACGCATATAAAGGATTTATAGTGAAAAACTTTATTTTTACGGGTTATACTTATTTAAATCCTTTATATTAAGTTCACTTGCTTGCTTGCGTGCTTACGACCGTGCAAATCTTTCGGTCGTTTTTTAACCCACTTCCCGTGATCCAATCGAGCTGACATTTTGCACACAGACTCGTTGTGCGTGACAATTTATTTTCGTGAAATTGTTTTCCAAAATTTTCCACTTTTTAGGGGAAAAAAAATCATATTTAATTTAAAATACCAATGTGATAAAAATGAAACTCTTACTCAAGAAAAACAGAAATAAATAATAAAATAAAACCGATGCCACTCATATAAAGGATTTATAGTGAAAAACTTTGTTTTTACGGGTTAATTTTTTTTATCTCTATTTCTGTGCGGATGTCACTCACTGGAGGCCCGTGTTGCGCGGGTCCGCCGGCAGCCCGTTCGAGCTGTTGAGCAGCGACAGGAGGCAGAGCAGAGTCGCCGCGGTGCGCACCGCACACCCAGGAGGAGACTCCGTCACGAACATCGTCTTCATCGCGCGCCTCCCAGACGACTCTGCACAGCGAGAGAGACGGAGATGGCACGGCATGAACGAGAGCCGATAGCGCCGGACACGCCATGTGGCATAGATAGTACAGGGTGCTTTAAACATTTTTTTAAAAACACTTCTCGTTTTTTTTTATGGGAAATGAACGGATATATTCACTGTAACGTGATAACAAATGTGTGTTAATAGCTTCAACATTTCAGAGAGTCTCTCCCACTCGTTCGTCATCATTGTCAACGCGTGCCTCTGGGAATATCCTTCTCCAGGTGGTCTCCAGAGCCCGGAGGCGGCTCGTTGCTTGTGGCATTGTTGCAAATTCTTAGGAGTGTTAACATTTTTTGTTGTAGCCGAACAGCACGTGCTGTTATAGAAAGCACCGGTGAAATTTCTTGCTCGGTGGGCAGGGCACACGAGGAGGACATGGGTGGCCAGCACCACGCCCGACCGCCTTTTCCTTCCTAATGCTGATGTCTAAACATCGCACCAGGTACGCATTTAAGGCTGGACCGGTTCATCTATATCCGTCACTGATGTTGGTCATGAAATTAACTCGGGTCGCCGGGTTTGTTGCACAGTGCCAATACATCACTTTTGCTCCCCAAAAGACAAAGATTCACCTTAAGATTAACCTTAAGATTCACCTTATTGGCTTAGCAGACTGTTGGGGAAAGTGCTGTTAAGCGAGCAGCAACTATGAAGGCCGGAACGGCACACGAGGGGGTGGGGTGACCAGCACCACGCCCGGCCGCCTTTGTATCTCCAATGTTGATGTTTACACACCAGACCAGGTATTGGCTTATGGCTGATCAAACCGAGGGGAGGCCCAGGACCGGTTCAGATAATCAATGTTGTTGGCCGTAGGCGGGAATCGAACTCGGGTAGCCGGGTTCGTAACGGTGCGTGCTAACCTCTATACCACGGGCTCCTTACTTACAAACAAAGACAAACATCCCCCATATAGCCTGTAATAGACTGTTGGGGCAAGTGCTGTTAGCGAGCACCTGTGAAGGCCGGAACGGTACACGAGGGGGTGGGTGGCCAGCACCACGCCCGGCCGCCTTTGTCTCCCCAATGGCCATGTTTACATACCGCTCCAGGTACTCATTTGACGCTGAATCGACCTAGGGGAAGCCCAGGACCGGTTCAGATAATCGTCACTGGTGTTGGCCGTGAGCGGGAATCGAACTCGGGTCGCCGGGTTCGTAGCGCACGCTCATACAAAACAAGATCCCCCATATAGCAGCCTAAACAGACTGTTGGGGCAAATGCTGCACGCTCACACACGCTTACAGACACACACGCTCGACAACTAACGATAGTACTACCCCCACTATCATTATGTAGTGATTTTAGTGCTAAAGTGGGCAATTGTCACCACTACAGTAAATAGAGTAATGTTCCACCTGTAACAAGCAATCCCTTGTTACTTAAAAATTATTTATTAGGCAAACATCGCTAAGAATGTTTAGACTCAGACGATTTCCTGAGTAAACAATTGGCACTACGGCATTTTATTATGAGCATTCCAGTGTTCCTCCAACTAAATACGAAATTCTTTTATTTTTTCAAGGGTTGATCATCCTTACACGCGGGACCTTATTGTGTCTGGTGATTTGGCCGGGCGGTGGTGGCAACGCACGTCCCGTAATCCAGCACTGTGGAGGCAGCAGCCAGGGTTAGTGGCTCGCACAAATGCTGCGAAACTCCCTTCCCATGGGACGCCGCGGAGGAAGCCATACCCCTGGCTTGCCAGGAGAAGGCAGTACAGCAAAAAAAATGTGGACTCCACAAGTGCCGTCTGTATGGGATAGAGTGTTTCCCCCTCGCACGCGAGGGTTTTCTCCGGGTGCTCTGGTTTCCTCCCACATGTAAACACTCATTAATTGGCCGATAACTCCTTCATTACACAGAGGATCGCAGAGCTTGGGCAATTGTTAGCGCTGGTTCATCGCGTGGCTGCCTTCGTCTGTGGTTCCTCCTCCTCGCGCCTCTGAGTCGTCCTCTCGTTACGAGAGCGAGCGGATACTGTGCCGTGGCGTATTACAAGTTGAAATAATAATTATTTAAATTTACAAATAGTCACTCTATCTCATTGTGTTTAATGGGCCATTAGATCAACCACTCGGACACTAGGAATGTACGTCATTTAACATATATATAATACCTCATGCAATACCGATCTAAATATTTGACTTTGCTTCTTGAAGGTTTTAAATTATGATCAATTACGCTCGGCATTGCTTGACTCTACATTACTGTTAATCTGGCATTAGGTCATGCACGCTGTCTTGCTTCATATTTACCGGGTCTTCTTAGAAAATACTGCATGACTATTTGTCTCAATATTGTGACGTTTCAGGCAACGACCCTTCCTCAGAGTACTCAGGCTACCTCTCTGACCTCTGTAGGTGCTGTGAAAAGGGCCAATGCCCTTAAACGTCGCTTATTATATTTGTCTTTGTAAAGCCACAGTGTCATCGACTAATGTATTAAACGTTGTTTTGTTCATTTGTCTCAATAGGTGATAATTTCATTTAAAATAACTACACATACAAAATTTAATAAAAATAAAATAAACTCCACGCAAATAACCTGACCTGAGCTGAGTTATGATTACGTTCAGCAGCAGCAAACAGTCCCCTCTCCCCAAGCAAAATTCCGAACTTTGAGAATTCAGGCAGGTACAAATAAGTAATAGGCTACACATTTTGTTAAACAAAAAAGTTACTGGGGTTTTAATCGCTGCAAAGGTGCAGCGTTAAAATCCAAGGTGGAAAGGTTGGTATCGCCAGTGACTGTCACTGAATTTTATCTTGTAGAGAGGTCATCATCTATTGCAGGCAGTTAAATTCAACACGGACACATCGCATGAAAATATAACCATGTAACTTCTCGGCGTCTTACTCAAATTTAGCCACATATTCACCGAACATGCAAACGCACGTGCACATAATCACCACACTGTTTAGTACTCATCATCATCAAACTAACTGCTTTCATTTTAAACACACTTGAAAACCCGCTCAAGGGTACAGCGAATATACATTAACATCACTGCGCTTTGGTGTTAACTTAGGTTGTCTGTACAAATCACTTCTTATCATACATTACGACTGAGAGACACACACAGACAGACAGACGCGCATACACACACACATGCCACGTACGAGTCGCGCCTCTCCACCACGTCCGCTGCTGCGAGGAATTGTCATCGGCGCCGGCGAGCGCGTCGCTTTTCCTCGGGCTCAAAAAATGCAGGGAATGCGTCTATACCCTACCTATGAGATAAACAGTCTGAAATAGAAATAATACTCACCATCGCGTGTACCTCTCAGCCGCTCCAAAGCCATCATAGCCACCGTCAATACAGCACGGACGATACTGAAGAATACTTGGTACAGAATATAGATCTTGTAAGCTTTAGCCCTATAACTATATATATGCCTGCAACAACCAGCAGCAGCAACTTGTGTTCTACGTAAACTGTCTTGTTACCCGTTACCCGTTAATACCAAGTAGTTTCGTATGTATGTAGTATGCTGAACTTCTTTCGCACCGTACGTAGCCAACCGTGCGAACCCGCGATTAAATGTTTTGTGAGTTTATCTGCTGTACTCGGTCGACACGTGAGAGTCGCGTCGATGCTGATTTGTACCACGTCCAGAGAGACAAATAATCCTTATATACTGGTGGCCCTCAAACTATATATATAGATGCTTGTGTCATCATTGCCCAATCAAACGCATGTTTTGTGCCGATATCTCATTACGGTAATGTGTTGTGGGCGTCGTGGGGTTGGTGTTGTATGAATGGGCCACCACTTAAAAACAACTTTTCATTAAGCGCCACTGGATAGCGCAGATGGGGCGCTTATTATTATTTTACAGCTCCACTTTTAAGACACCCCCGCCGCTCCCCAACCCCTCCCCTAGCCTTTGTTGTGTTTTGTATAATTCGACTGAATAGTTAATGTCATTATTGCTTCATCGTTTACACATTTCCCGAGCCAAGTGGGACATCACCCGGGGTAATGACGGAGCATCGGGTGGAGCCGATTTGCGCAGCGGTTGAGCGCGCTGAGCCGTGAACCCAGCAACGCGAGAGTTCGATTAGCGGCCAAGGCTTCCATTGGTGGTGAGTGACATCTGAACCGCCGCCACGCAGTGTGGGTTGTAGGGGTCACTTGACGATACTTCACCACGCTGGTCAGTACGGATTTGTGAAGGCGGGAGGGGAGGGAGGGGGGCATAGACGCGGGAGCATAGAAGTACGTTCAACATTTTGGATTTTTCTGGAAAATACTCTTCTCTGCTGCTCGTAACGCAGCCCAGCAGCATCCCTATAACACATTATGCACTAACCATGTACAACCTGCTTAGCTTCCGAGATCTGACGAGATCACGGGCACTCCGGGGTAGTTTGGCCACAGGATGATCATTAACATCATCCTCAACTATCCGCTGCTGGATGAAGGCCTCCCCATGTCATCGCCATCTCCCACGGTCCCGTGACGCCACCGATCCATCTCGCTTCTTCGTGTGAGCTGATCTCAGATTTGAAGCTTTCGTGACTGCAATGATTCATACTCTTAGTTCTTTCGGTAAAGTCACGTAGGTAAAAAATTGAAATTAATAAAAATAAAAAATAAAAATCACGATGTTTCGGAGGCAACACAAGTCTCCGTCATCAGGTGGGACCGTCACAGCCAGATTTGCTGCATCAAGTGAGGCAAGGGCTTACATCTTGAATCCTTGCCTCACTTGATGCAGCAAATCTGGCTGTGACGGTCCCACCTGATGACGGAGACTTGTGTTGCCTCCGAAACGTCGCGATTTTTATTGTTTTATTTTTATTAATTTCATTTTTTACCTACATGATGACTTTACCGAAAGAACTAAGAGTATGAGTTGATTTCGTCTCTTCATCTCCAGACCTTCGAGAGCACAAGTGAGCGGGGAGAAAACGGCAGCATCCGGAGAAAGCCTGCACGTGTGCGCGTAACAGCGCTCAGCTCTCCGCAGAGACAGATTCAATGAACCGACTCGATCGAGCGAGTGAACCAAATCTGTCTGTGGAGCGCACGCATTTTCTGTGCTGCCACCTCCAAGCACCTCGCAGCGATACTCCTATAGCACCTGGCAAGCACTGGTGGTCACCCGTGCCAAGCATCAATATAACCTCTTGTGCGACCTCACGGCCAAGTCTGCACGGAGAGGAACAAACTCAGGCTCGATGATAATCGTCATTGCAACTTGTAATGCGAATAGCAACAGTCAACAATTGCCAAGTCTCTGCGTTATCGGGAAATTAATGAGTAGAAACCGGGATTCCCGGATACAATTGACGCGTGCGAGAGGGAAACGCTCTATCCCACGCAGACGGGACGAGTGGAGTCCACTCTACCCGCCCTTCTCCTGGAAAGCCAGGGCATGGCACCTCGACACCCACGGGGAGGGAATTTCACAACGCTCGTGTGCTCCACCACCAAACCCTTGGCTCCACGGTGCCATACCAGTGCAGTATAACACAATTCGTACGACGAATTGTGTCACACTGCCCTCTGCTGCCCACCACGTGGCATCGCAAAGTTGATGCAGACACATACACGGGGGTCGCCCATCAGAGCACACTAATTCCAGGCTCAAACCGGCTGAGCTTCTGAGATCTGACGGGATGGCTGCTGCATGATGCCGAGTGTGCAGAGTCGGAGGTGATTCATGAAACGTCCTCCGATGTTTCAAATGGATTGCGAGTCCAGGGTGCTAGCAATTGACACATGAATTCACCACGCCCGTGGTATCACCTGGATCTCTGGGGGAGCGAGTTGATGGTGACGGCGCTTTTGTTTCAAGCGACTGGATAACACAAAAGCAACAAATATTAAATTGGGGTTGTAACTTAAGACGAATTTATCATAACTGTAAGAAAAAGTATGATTTCACTGACATACGTAAAACACTCTTTGCAACACATATAAAGGTGTTTCCAACCTGAGCGGTGGCGCTGTGGTTAGCACACTGCACTTTGAACCCGGCCCCTTGAATTAGATTTCCGTTCAAGTGATCCCACCACTTTACCCAACCGGCTCTGACCATCGTGGTGAAGTATGGTCAAACAACCCCCATCACCGCCACGGCGTGGGGAGGTCTTCATCGAGCAGTCGAATGACAAAAGGTGCCAGCCACTATTATGAATGTATATGTACGGTATACTGCACAAACGTTGTTCTCAGGCGGTCTCTCATAAAAGGGGACCATAGTGCCATAGATTGATGTGCTCCTGGAATAGTGGTACTCGCTTCACTCGAATGAAAACACTACAACAGCACGCGTGCTTACACAGGTGCGATCATCTGTACACACGTCCCCGGCCTCACAACCTCTGCTGTTTACACAGAAGAGTTGAAACGCAAAAAAATAGAACCGACAGATTTCTTCGTGCACTCTGCTGCGTGTCTGGATAGCATGGCACGCATCCGCGCTCGTGTATATTTATATAAGAGCCGAGCCGCCGGGCAACGTTCAGGCGACGTTTATTATTATTATTGTGCATGCTTTCGAGACATTTTTTCGTAACAAAAAAAAACCCGGAGTGCCTTGTTGAACTTGCGTCGTTTTAATTAATCGTCCGCGGTCCACCACCATTATCATTTCAACTTATAACGCGCACAGTATTCACTCATTCTCGAAGGCAGAAAACGACTCAGAAAGCGCGTGGAAGAACCACAGATAAGTGGAGAGGCGAGCCACGCGATGAGCCGGCGCCAACAACTCGCCAAGCTCTGCGGTCCTCTATATATGAAGGTGTTATCGGCCAATTAATGAGCGTTGACATGTGAGAGGAAACCTGATCACCTGGAGAAAACCCACGCGTGCGAGGGGGAAACACTCTATCCCATTCAGACGAACAGGTAGAGTCCACATTTTGTAATGAATCGCATTATCTTGACGAGCCAGGGTATATAGCACGTCGAACACTAACCATCGCCCCCACAGTCGTGGATTACAAACATGCATTGCCACCAACGCCGGCTGATAATCGTCATCGTGAGAGCAGGATAGCGACTCAAACTGTAGTTATATGTGAAAGACTGGACATTTTGATGTGTAGCTGTGTCATTTGATATTAAAATTTGCAAGAAGTCATGCTTTTTCAATTATGTCTCATGCGGTTATTGTTGTACAATGTCCATCCTTCCATTTCATCATCCATTTTTTGCAATGAAACTGATATTATTTTTCTGTTTTTCACGGTTCTTTGTTTTCCTCTTAAATCTAAATGAGCTCCCAACTGGTTGAATAAAGGGCCTTCCGAAACACAATCTTCACACATGCAATGAACCACGTGGTTGATCTATATGAAGTCACGTGGCTCAATGAGCCAACTGCAGCAACGATCTCCATTGCAAAAGGGTTCGTGAACCTGTGGGATCTCACTCGGTTAAAGGACATCAATTACAAACATACTGTAATCGATGGCAAAAAAATTGAACACGTCCAAGAGGCCAAAGGAGATGAAGCGATGAATTCAGTTTCCGTGCGGGCGCTCGGTGCATTGTTACATTGCAGGATCGTTTGAGGTGGTAGTGGATTAGGGAAACCTTTATCCAGCAGTGGCTTCACGATGGCTAATGATGGTGAGACATGAGACGTTTCCCACAAAATGTTCATAGGCGTGTTTCCAAAATCCAACTTGGAAGGCCCTTGTACAAAAAATGATCACGAATGTAAAATGGATATCACGTGGTTATACAATGATGCGATGTAACAATGAAACAATATGGTCAAGAGGTCCAGGTGGCTCTATAATCCAACAGAAATCCATGACTCCATAGCAGATGGGATTGTGGATCTCGGAGGAAGGACCGTGAGAGGCCTTCCTCCGGCAGTCGGTTGATCATGGCTGCTGACGATGAATGATATCAACGTATAAAAAAGTATCAAACATCTTTGAATCAACGTGGTTATGTGATCCAACAGAAAGGCAGTTATTTCTTGTGAAATAAATCTTGAACCAAAATTTGAAACTCAGCAGCAGTGGCGATGATTCCTAAGGCACAATCAAAAGAGGGACAACCAGGTTGGGGGGGGGGGGGGGTGGGGGAGCCACCTGATATTAGAGGAAGGCCCTAAGTTTTACTGCGTCAGTCTAAAACTTAAAAAGTGAGGGACAAAGAGCAGAGCTTGGAGCACGTGTCCACTGTTCAACTGATACGGGGTATGGTAGAAAGAATATATTGCGAGGTGCCATGACATCAACAACAGCTTTGGTCGTGATGACCTTTTGACCTTGAATGGAGGTACACGGCCCCATCATCCCTGTATTGAATTGCAAGCGTTTAATGGAAGATGCGAGCCACTTATATCGTAGACACCACACCTAGGTTGTGTATCGAAGTGTCCGACGAATGTGAAGCTTAGTAAATGAGAGCAGAGCTAAACGTGACGATCAGCCGAGTCAATTTGGCAGTCAAACAAAGTCACTCTCATAATTATCATACTTCACTGCGAGTGATGTATCTACAGAGTGAGGTGACGGGAGAGGTAGCAGCAGAGTGCGTGGAGAGATAGTAGAGCGAGATGAGGTAGACTGGAGCGGACCTACTGAGACTCTTGAGAGAGATCTTGACATTTATCCGGGATTGGATTGGAAGCCAGTGGATGGATTGGAAGTGTGGGTGTGATGTAGTCTCATTTACCAGGCGCGCTTGCATCTGTAAATCACACATGGTTAAGTGAAGGGCATCGATACCTGCATACATCACATCGACTTCTGCTTAAATTTCATGCAGACGTAGTTAATAAAGGGCTCCAACGCTTTGTTAAATAAGACATTCCAACACGTGCCTGACTTACGGACATCGACGAATGGTCAAATAAAAGACACGCGGCTGAATAAAACACACGACGCTTGGTTAAATAAACGGCACGAATGCCTCCATTAACATTAGCCAAGAACATCAGCGCCTTATTAAACACAATACACGAACGCGTGGTTGAATGAAGGTCACTGGAGACACCCAGAGCCGTTTCCTAGGCTATTGCGAATCGGGGGGGCGAACGTCCCGGGCCCCGCGCTTTGTGTGTGTGGGGGGCCGGCGCTTCAATGCGCTTCGACGTCTCGATGTGAATTGTGACACGTTCGCTTTAGTTCGAAGGCGGCGTCGATTGAACGGAGTGGGGGGGACCCTACACAGTGGGATGCGACCAGAGGCGTAGCTAGGGGGGGGGGCAGGGGGGTGCATATGTCCCCGGGCGCCAAGGTAAAGGGGCGCCAAAATGAGGCTTACAACGTTACAGCCTGAAACTACTGCACAAATCTACACCTCAACCTAAAAGTTGATATATATTCTGCCACACACAGCCTACATGTCATGTAATTACATTTTGGTATGTGATTAAACGGGGGGGGGGGGGGGCGCCAATTTTATAGTTCGTCTCCGGGCGCAAAATATCCTAGCTACGCCACTGGATGCGACCACCCTGCTGACACCCCCCCCCCATCTCCACATTAAACAAGAGACGCGAGGAAACCGACAACTCAAAATCTCCGCGAGCACGTGGTCGAACAAAGGAGGAGAGATCGTCACGGCAACGCCACCACGTGGGGGGGGGGGGGGGTGCCACGTGACTGCTGGCGGGAATCAGCTGGCGGTCACGTGACTCGCCGCCCTCGCGAGTGAGTGGTGGTGGCGGTGGTGGCGGCGTCGCTTTCACGTCTCTGCTTCGGTGGTGGTGGTGGTGGACGTCGCAGCAACAACAACAACAACAACAAAAACTCCCCTCCTTGCCATGTCCCACCCATGGGCCGCTGGTGGCGGCCAGGTGAGCTTCGGCGACGTCTCGCCGCCTGCGCGAGCCGCGCGTCGTTGTCCGCACCCGGCAGAGCTGTAGGCCGCGCACTCGCGGTACCGTCCCTCGGATAGAAGTCCCCGCCGGGGAAGGCGTCACTTCTCCCGGCACCTGCCTCACCCCCACCCGGGCTCGGGTCGGCCTCGGCCTTGGACGCGTTGTCGGCTGCGAGGGTTGCTGGAGATGTGGGGTCGCCCCCAGGGTCCCGATTGCGGTGACCCTCGAGGCATTGAGGTGGCGTCGTTGCTGGGGAGGGAGGGAGGGAGGGAAGACGAAGGGGGTTCAACAATGGCCATGTCAGAAGAGCTGAGCCCGTGCAGCTGATGAGAAGGGGGGGAGTCTTCTGTATACATTCCGGTTTCATCTGCCGCAGTGGTTAAACGGGTGGCTTTTTGAGACAGTAGTCTCAGCACGTTTGGCAATGACTGCACAAGGAGGAGGAGGGGAGGGGGGTATTTACGTTGAATTCGGGACCGCACGTGGTTTCTAACGAGAAGTCGGGTTCGGTTGGACACGCGTTGTCGTTTGCGCCTTCACAGCGAGGCACGCGTGAGGAGGTGCGTGGTGTGAGCGTGCGGCCAACACCACCAGGTTGACGATTATCTGAGTCGGTCCTGGGTCTCCTCCTAGGTCGACACGGCCTCAAATGAGCACCTGATGCGGTGTGGAGTAAACATCGCCACGAGGGAGGGAAGGCGGCCGGGCGTGGTGCTGGGCACCCACCCCCTCGTGTGCCGTGGTGCTCACTAACAGCACTTGCCCCAACAGTTTGTTAAGGCTATTATTGGGGGAGATCTTTGTTGGTGTGATGATGATGATGATGATACGGATGCTTTGTGTGGATAAAAAGTAAGTTGAAGGGGGACATCGCTGATACGGGGTGATATTACACGGCCTTTTTGTCACAGTTTGTTGTTGACATTCATATTGTTGTCATGACGCCGATAGGACATTTGTAAAACATCGGAGAAAAAACGAAACATGTTTAGAGCCATTCTCCATCCTACCTGCGCTGCCGCTGTTGCTGATGAGGAGCCCACTGTTAAACAGGCTTTTGCACTTTGGTAACAATAATTATTATAATGCAGCAAAGCCTCAACAGTCTCAATTCTACATTATTTCCCAGGACTATTCCACATTGGGTTATTTGCCCATCTAAAGGTGTGTTTGCCACGTGGGAATAAACCGGAGGGGGAAAAAAAACCTCATGTACAGGGCTATAACACTTACAGTTTTGCACAGACGGGTTCATGAACCCACGTGTTATTCAGCCATCTGCTGAGCATTTCACAGCCGAGTAAATTGGAAGTTTCACAAATCTGTGTAAACCATCAAACATTGCCTTCAGAGTGATTGATTAAATTGTGTGTGCTCAACCATGCCTGGCTAATGATCAGAATCAAGGGCACGTTTATGCGGCTTCTTAACTGTCATATGTAGAATATCTGTTTTTGTGTGAAGTGGTGAAGGTGCGAAAGAAGTCAACATACATGCAAGGTGTGGGAGAGGGGAGGTGGGTCAGTTGTGGAAGTTTGCTCATGGAATCTGATACGTGGGGGCCTCAGAGCATTTAGCCAAAGGCCCCCCAACATCTTTTCAATGGCCCTGTATTCTACCATGCTGCTTATGTGTTCAGGTAGAAAGTCTCATTTCATGAGGATCTACATCTTCCAAGTTGACAAGGTGGATCGCAAGAACCGTTAGTCATCAACTGAATATCACCCTGACGTGGTCCGCTCTGAGTACCAACTAAAGCACCGGTACATCTTGTATTCACAGGCACGTGGTAATGGGGATGACGAGTCTGGTGATGAATTTGGCGGCTTCGAGGTAAGATCCTTAACTTGTACAGATCAATGTATGAGCATATTTACGCGCACACGGATGGATGACACTGCTCACGGTGCCGTGCGTGATGTGTGCTGTACGTTAGACGGCGGACCCTCTGCCTGATGGGGGGGTTCCGGTTCCTTCTGCGGCCATTCCTTGGGCAGCCTTTCCCGTGGGTAAGAAGCACACGCGCTTATATGTACCTACGTATCTGCGCCTCCAATTAGCACGGTTGGCTACGTACGGTGCGAAAGCAATTCAACAAACATACTTGTTTCCCTCATTGGTAATTGGCTATGTATGGTGTGAAAGAAGTTCAACTTGCGTATGTATATACGTATGTACGTTGAACTTCTTTCGCACCATACGTAGCCAACCGTGCACTAAGGAGATTGAGAAATTGGGAATGTTTGAATGCAGTTTCAAATCATTGAAACGTGTAGAATGTTTTGGAAGGCCTGATCTGTGTCCCCTTGGTTTAGGCATGCCTCCAAGCGCCACCCCAGACATCCTGCTGGACCAGTCTTCCTCGCCGCCTTTGGGACCCCTTCCCGATGCCGCGGCTTCAAGCATCGGCTCTCAAGCAGGCTTGTCTGACCTGCACTCCTCCCTGCCAGTGAGCAGCTTCCTAACCCAGTGGGATTACACCAGTTTTTTATTCTTTAGTCCTCTGCCCTTTCGCAGATCCTCGGCAGAAACTCCCTCCACCCTGTCTGAAATATGAATCCTCCGTTCCTTCAAGTTGTCAAACATAATCTTTCTATTTCTGCCTCTCAACTTCTTTTTTCCCAACGTCTGTCCTTTCAGAACTTCCTTCACCTCTGAGAAACCGGTTATGGCTCGCAAATAAAATCGCCTTTGGTTTCATGTTATCGCTTTTCTCATCACAGAAGTTAATTCGCCTACATGGTTTGTAAACCGATGTGCTGTGTTTGTGCTTCCTGTTGGTGTGTTCAAGCATGATCCTTGCCTCCATGCATCCTTGTATTGTTTGTAGCCATGCTCCTTGCTCCGCACATTTAAAGACATTCTACAAATATAACATCAGTCATCTTGTGAACCTGAAATTTTCGCATGATTCAGTAAACCATATGAGTAAACCTGCTTTGTATGGACATTATATATCGTAACATTTTGCCTCATTGAGAATGGCTACAATTACTGAACTTCGAATAAGGTAAGAAAATTGATATTCAGTGTGGTATTGTGCCACAATCAACAGATAACTAATACATTTACAGTGTATATATTTATGTTATATATTATGGGATTGAGCGGTGTCACACTGCCGACTTGATTACGATTCCCGGTAACGACTAATATTATTGACAAACGATATCTGAACTGGTCCTGGGGCACCCACTCCACATCAGAAACTCGCACTAACCAACGCAAAGAAATATGATCAAACAACTCCAATGACCGATCCCTCTATCCAAAAGATGATTGACAAAGGCCCGTAAAACAAATATATACGGCTCTCTGATGGCGGCCTCTTTTTGTTTGTGATCGTTAAGGCCTAAAATGATATTGTTCACCAAAGGCTTCTGTGAGCTCTTCTGGAGCGTCTGGCCCTGCCAGTCCACCCGCAACCTCCCCACCGGACGCCATCATCAACGCAGCGGCCGTGCCAGGGCAGCAGCAGCGGCGGCAATCGGTGGAGGTGGACGCCGCCACTGCCGCCAATGCCGCCAATGCCGCCACTGCCGCCACTGCCGCCACTGCTGCTGCTTCCACGGAAGAGGTGACACCACCGCCGGTGTCGGTGGGGCAGTTCGAGGCTCTGCTCGCCAAACTCAGTCTGGCGGAGCAGGAGAAGCACCGAACACAACAGGTTCGTTCGGCCGACACGAACATCAATAATGCAACGCAATACGATACAAATTTGGATTTTTAAAGTGTTTAAATATGACCGAGTCTGAAGGCGCTGTTGTCCGAGTGTGGTGACACGCACGTTTGGATAACGGGAAGGCATTTGCCACATGTCACTGAACCGCTGGATCAGTTTTCAAGAAGACTGATGATCTCACAAATTTACTTGACAATTTTCGCGGGAAGTTGCAGAAGATCTATGTTAAAGTTTCTTGAAGGACATTCATAAGAGAAGGCAATTGATATACGTCTGTTTAGAGCCAATCGCTCAACAAATTTAGCTCTTACTAAATATTAAGGCAACAAATTAACGTTCTACAACAGCCATGCATATCCACCTGCTTAATTATTATTGTGAATGAAGGGAGCGACTTGCACCCGCAGGTGTTGGAGGGCTTGCTGACGAGCAACGTGGGGCTGGAGCGACGTCTCGCTGATGCCGAGGCGAATGCGGCAGCCGACCATCGTGTCCACTATGCGGAGATGCAGGTCTTGCAGGCCACCCCGCCGACACCGGCTCACCGCTTTTTTGTCCTCAACCTGACACTTCTTTCGCACTGTACGCAGCCAACTATGCTCATCAGAGGTGTGGGGAGGTACAGCAAACTGACACAAAAAGCAGTTCAATCACACTTCATATCTCAGTGTTGTAGCGTGCGTGAGTTTGGGCTGTGTCTGTATCCTCTATAGATTCTTCCGAACAGCACTTACCCCACCAGTCTGTTGAAGGCTATATGGGGGATCTTTTTTTTATGGCCTCCACTTTGAAACCTGGGGAACCCAGTTCGATTTTCGACCACGGCTAACATCAGTGGTGAATATCTGAACCAGTTCCTGGCCTCCCCTAGGTCGACTCAGGCTTAAAGAAGTATCTGGTGTGATGTGTAAACATTGCTATTGGGGATACCAAGGCAGTCTAGCGTGATGCTGGCCACACCGCACACTGTGCACCTTGCCGGCATTGCCAACATGGCTTGCTTCAACAGTTGGTTAAAGGCTAAAGGCGGATCTTTGTCTTGGTACGTGTGCGGGTGTTTGGGTGTTGTGGGTGTGTGTCCATTCGCAGGAGAAGCACCAGAAGGAATTGGAGGAGCTCAGGACGGCTGGGCACGAGGCACTTGCCATCATTGTGGAGGAGTACAAGGTGTGTGTACTATTACTGCAGCCATTGCTTAAGACGTATCTTTGTTTTATTTTGTATGTCGTCCATTCTAAACAAAGGCAACTGGTGTGTGTATATATAAGAGCCTTTGTTTATCCAGGGAAGGCTCACTGAGTCTCAAGAGGTTCACATTGAGGAGGATCCTGCATTGGGATGTTTGGCCAGTGCAATTATTGAGTGTTTGGCTTGTAGGAGAAAACCACAGTACCCAGAGAAAACCCATATGCATGAGCGGATACAACTCAGAGCGCCCACTATTTTAGATTCAAGAATCCAATCCTGCACCTTCCTCTCATGCTTACCCCCACAATCCAAGCCTACAACACTTGGTAATCCGAAGTAGGTCGCGATCCATGTACTAACTAGGCGCAGCCCTGCTTAGTTTCCGAGAACTAACGCGATCGGGAGCATTCCGTGAGATTTGTTCACGTGTGATTTCGGTCATATGTGACTAAAACCATTAATCTAAATCCATATTTAGAAAGGTAGGTTTTACTTTTGGGCCACAATTGTTGTGTTAAAAGATCTTACATAATTTCATTAAAAAATTAAGGCGGCAAGTCACAAATATCATGATTAAGGTACAAACATATCTGAATTAAAGGCTTCCAAGCCATCTTCATTTGAACGTTTTTAAAGTTATTTACATCACTGCGCTGCCCAAGAAAGGTCTACTGTCGATAACAAAAACAGTTGTCTTATTAAAAATGCAAGGTTCGTCAAACTCTTTGAGACCCGTCGGTCTTGACGATGTTGAAACTTCATAGAGCTGTTCAAGGCTGTCTTTGCCCCCCTGTCCCTGGAAGCCAGGCATTCTGGGTAAAGTTCATCACCCCAAGTGAGGGGCTGAGTCAACTATCTGTAAATGTCACAGTAGCGCACAGCTCTCCCGTCAGGGGCTACGCAGATAATAAACAGCAGAGGTACCACGAGATAATAAACAGCAGAGGTACCACGAGAGTGCACCTGATGCAACTTGTTTACGTGAGCGGGAGGCCGTTTTTGCGTGGGACCACATGTTGCAAGTGACGGTGAAATGTTTTGTCATCGGATTGTCAGCAGTGTGGCTGGCAGGCGCACAGGGCTACGGATTGGGTTACAAAGCATGGCAAGCATCCATATACGTTATGTTTGTTCGCCTTTGTGCCATGTTCAGAGGCCTGGGTAGACCTCGCTAGATGCTGAAATTGGTTAAACTGGAACAAACCATGGGGTGCATTGTCTCTCAGGTTCCCCAAGTTGTGGTTTATTGACTGTTTGCTATGGCGGTGTAAAGTCGTGGCTGGTATATGTATGTTCCGGTTTCAGCATCTCTGTTCGATTCTCACTCCTGAATTGAATCCACATGAGTTGACTCCACCTATACAAAATGCCAAGGCAGGAGCTCTGCTAGATTGACTTGGTATGAAGGATATGAATGTAAGCACTGGAGAAGGAATAAAGGTGCAGTGCAGGCTTTGTTCATACAACATCAGCACATCAGCGGTATTCTTTTGCACCGTCTTTCATATCCGTCCACACTGGTGGTATTTCATTTGGACAGCTGTGTGTGTGTGTGACTTTTTAACTTGACACGAATGCATGTTTAGCTCGCGTAATTTACGGGGCACTGATTTAATGTTGTTATTTTAAAATTAAACTTTGCTTGCCCCGCGTCTGTACTGATAGGGACCATTACGCTGCGTCTCTAAGACAATTACCTAATTGGGAACCCGCTCCTGGTTAGCTCGGATTGCATAAGCAATTTTATTTTTTCCCCCCCCCGTGGTGTGCATTGTTCCGCGTGCGTCCGGGCAATGTTCGGTGACAGGCCTTGAGCGTGTCAGCGGTGCAGGAGGCCAACGAGGCCGGCGAGAGGAACGTTCGCTCCGCGTTGGAGACCCAGGTCCAGGCGTGCCAGGAGCTCATGTCCGCACAGGTCGGCCTCCCGCTGATCACGCCAAGACTGCCCTATTCTCAGCTGGGAGCGATTTAGTCAATCGCTGACAACATTTCATTTTGCGACGCGCTTGCTGAATTTGGAAACGAATCGCCTCTTACCCATTGATTCAATGAATGTTGGTGATTTCAGTTGACCTTCTTGTTTTAACACATTGTAGTGATGGTTAGTGCCTCTAGTGGCTGCAGGGGTGATATGAACCCATGTATACATAACAGTTATAATAATCTGCAGCTCTTTACTCATCCGCTGGTGAATTTAAACCTCCACCACACCCGTCATGGAGATTGTTTGACCATACCTCACCACCTGGGCTTTCCAGGGCTGCTTCAGATATCACTCACCAGCATCACCAGCCGTGGCCAGGAAGTAAACATTCGTCACCGAGTTTCTAGCACGCTGTATGTATGCATGTTGAATTTCTTTCGCACCGTACGTAGCTAACTGTTCTACTATGAGACCTCCTTTACCAGTGGCAAAATATAGTAGTAGGTTTTTACCCTTTAAACTGGTACAAAACTGACACCGTTTGCATGATGCCTTGTATAAAGGTGTCAGTTTTGTACCAGTTTAAAGGGTAAAAACCTACTACAATCATGATGCCTTGTATAAAGGTGTCAGTTTTGTACCAGTTTAAAGGGTAAAAACCTACTACCAACTGTTCTAATCGGAGGTGCGGGGGAAGGACAACAAACTACGCTAAACTGCCCTACAACGTATCCGAATATAAAATTACGGAACCTTCATTTTGTGATGCATGTGTTGTGGGTTCACAAATGTATTTTAATTGATGAGTTAATATATAATGCGACCCCTATTGCAAATACAAATAATTAGTTGACTGTTGAAATGGTTGGGATTTTCTCATCCAAGTTTTTTTTTCTGCACAGAAATATATTGTGCGATACTTTCTCTGTTTGCACCCTAGGTTGTCACTGCAAATCAGACTTTTGTCTCGATGAGCACTCACTTAATTATATCTAACGTTCATGTCTGCTGCATGTGGAGGGTAGTCATGGTGCAGTGGTTAAGTGCACTGCGCTATGAACCCGACAACCTATGTTTGAAAACCGGCCACGGCTAATATCAGTGGCGAGTGATACTTGAACCGATCCTGGCCACCCATTTCCTTCATCAACCTGCACTGATGTACGTGGTGAAGTATGGTAAAAAACTCACATGACCCTCGCAACATGGCGAGGCCTTCATCCAGCGATAGATTGTCAAGCAGCTGTGATTTATAATTCAGTGCTATATATATGCAAGTGTTACAGGTAAAGTTGGGACAACAGCAGTTATTTAAGCCTCTTTTAAACCATTATCAGAGGGCAGAAACAGTTATTGTGGATCGAAATTTTAATCTAAAGTTATTGTGGAAGTTGGGTTTTGTAAATTATATGAAGTCCAGGCTAAATACAGTGAAAGCAAAGGCAGTGTATCAGCCCAAACTGACAACACTCTCTCCATAGTATTCTTTGAAAATGTTTTGGGTGCTTGGGGTCAAGAGTGGGTCAAAAGCATCGGGTCATATGGATCTATTTCTATTTTGACCGAGCCTTTCTGGTGAGCTGTTGCTGATCAAAATAGGTCTATTTTGTTCGGAAGTCGTAAAATATTAAAAAAGGATTACAACTTGGCCCAGATCTGTTGGTGTCGGTGGCCGTGATAGTCGTCATGGGGGTTGCGTGTTGATCACGGTGGCTGGATTGTGTTTGCGCTGTGTTGCAGCATGAGAGGCTGCGGGCCCTACTGGAGGAGTGCCGCTTGGCGTGTGAGGAGCGAATCGCAGAGGCTCTGCAAGAACAGACTGCACAACACAAGGCAATGCATCCGCAGGCCACTCCCAAACAACAACAAACAACTTATTTCACTCTCGACCACCATGGCATCTATGTGCTTTCGGCTAATAAAGACATATCACCACTGTAGCTTACACAGGTTGTTGCTCTTGTCAAGCACCTGTGAACGCTGGCACGGAACACAATTTAATGTTTTATTGTATATATTTTTTTGTCCTTCCCCTGCTCCTCTAATGAGCACGGTTGGCTACGTACGGTGTGAAAGAAGTTTAGTATACGTTCAAGGAGGTGGTGTAGCCAATACCACGCCTGGCAGCCTTTGTCTCCCCAAGGCTAATCATTGCACATTGCACTAGGTACTCATTTAAGGCTGAGTGAAACTAGGGGAATAACGTTCACAGTGGTTAGTGGCTGTAAATTGGAACGGTGGTGCCGGGTTTGCAGTGCAATGCACTGACTACTACGGTATCGCTTCCCACTTTTAGAGGAGGCTAAATGCACTGTTGGAGGGTCGTGAAGAGTAGACGGGATCTCGGAGTAGATGTCAAAGAGCAGACCCATGGGGTTAACCCTGGGATGTGGTCCAGAAATACCAGAAATACTCGGCACTCTTTTTAGTGTTTGGGTCTGGAAGACCCATTCAGGCAAATAATGTGCTTGCCCATGTAAGCAATGTGACTTGTTGGTTTACATTATATAAGATGTTAAAGGTATTTGTTTAAGGTTATGCTGGAGTCTGTAATTTGTATGCCAAAGGCACCATGCCGGGTCTCTTGAACCTATGGCTGCATCCTAGAGTTCAAGGGCAGTCTTGCACTTGTGGGCCACTGTGTGAGCCAGTGAGATGTTTGTGCATAATTTGGTGAATTGTAAGTTTAATGTCAGGATTTTCTGTCTTCACTGTTTCTACCCAGTATGCAGTCGTGTTTGTATTTGGGTCTGTTATCACGTGTTCAGTTTTGCCGTTGTGTGACCCAAGTCTACCTTCAAGAGACTTTTATTTCTTAGAGACTTAAGTAAAGTAATTGTTCATGCTGCAATACCACAATTAGCAAAACTCACATTCATCAAGAACACAATGCCCCTTTTTCATTGCGCATTTTGAAAATGTGCAATAAAGAAGAGTCATTGCCCAAAATGCCACCGAGAAATGTTTTCTTTTTAGACCACAGTGTTATTGACGAATGTGAGTTTTTTGTTCTTGTTGTTGTTTTCAATTTAATGATTGTGTTATTGTGCTGTGAATGCCTGGCAGGCTGAGGTTGAGAAGTGCCTGGCAGAGGAGGGGCAGAAGAACGCGGAGGCATTAAAAGCGGCGGTGGAGGTGATGGTGGCATTGCATATGATGCTGACGATGGCAACCACAGTCGGAATGTTTATAACTATGAGGTTATTGTGTGGCAATGTCATTGTATATTCTTGGGTCTTTCGGTAAATTCATGTAGATAGGTTCAAAGAAAATAACAAAAAACTACGACGTTTCGATCGCAACACAAGCGATCGTCATCAGGAGAAAAAAAGAGTGGGAAAGCTGCTCTTTTCTCGGACGTAGAACGGGGAACGTAGATTCTTCAGGATGACAACAGCAGCCGGTGCCTCTCAGGGCTCTGGCTTATAAGCTGTGTGGCAGGGCTGGCCCTGCCCCCAGCCACACCTACCTTCGAGAACTCTCAAGGAGGTTCTCCACCTGGACACGTGGTCCCCCAGCCCCCCTTTTGGGGGTCCCCATAGACACCTCCGGTCACGCGTCCTCCAGGTTCAACCAGAGTGCCACGGCCCCCTTGTAACCCCAGTACCGTGCCCGGCACTCTCGCCCTCTATCCTGTAGGGGCTGGCACTGCACGCCGAGCGTGGTGCCATCCGTCACTGTCAGTCAGGGCTCACCGAGCCCCGCTCGGGCCGGTACTGCATCCACCTTCAGTGGTGTCTGCGATGTCAGTACATCGCAGCGCCGTGCCTCTCCCAGGCCGGCTTCACACAGTGACATCCAACGATGTCACTACACATACATAAACATGTATTCTTGAGAGCCTTTTTATTTTACGTTTGGAACTTAACAACGCTTAATGTTCACGTCGGCGAGCCGATGAGTGGCTATCGAAGGGTTCGCATCTGGGTCAGGGTTCCCACAACACTCGGCTACAAACTCCCAGTTTATGAGCATAGACCTGAAGGCCCAAAATGCCAATAATCCAGCAACAAACAGCACTGCACATGGTCTAAATGATGAGACTTAACTTAAAACCAAAAACATAGAGATCGGATAAGACTTAATATGTTTGCTGAATTGAGCCAAGTTCTAAGAGCTTGGGTAAAGAGATGATGGGAGGAAATTCCAAACTGGAGCAGTGCGAGTGAAGAAGCAGAAAGAGAGGCGTAGTGGCCTGCGGTGTGGTGGTTAAACACATCGTGAATGAGATGAGCACAAGGTCTCTTAGAGTAATCAGAATCAGAATATTTATTTATACTGGAGGAATCCGATGAGCTACACAGCTCTGTTTCACAGATGTCCAGTCGGACATCATGGGTGAGGGAATGGACGAGTGAAGTTCACGGGCACAGTAACTTTCGATGGAAGCTATAAAAGAGTGATGATGAGACGACTGACCGCCGGTGAGCGAGCGAGCAAGCGACGGGAGACAATCGGCGATTCTGTGCCACGACAGACCGAGCGGAGGGGGCTGCAGGCCGCCGTGGATGAGGCCGTGGAGCGGGAGCGAGAGCGGAGCAAGGACGTCGAGGAGAGGCTCACGGCCAAGCTGCATGACCTGTTTGCTCAGGAGAAGGGCGTCCTGCACAAGGCTATGCAGGAGGCCGTGCAGGAGGAGAGGGACAGGGGCCAGGTGGGGAGACTGCCTCGTGTGTCCAGACACTGAGCGACTGGCATTTTGTTGAACTGTTTGAATCCGTTGCAGGCTTCTGTTTATGGTGAACAGCAAATCTCTACAATATAATACAATTGACCATTTCATATTTCCATTCACTTGTGTTTGCTATGTTGGTATGTATGACCCATTTCCAACAATAGCTTTTCTCTGGTGACATAAAGATTGTTTTATAGCTTTTGTGTTCCTCATTATGACGAGCTGTCTGTAATTTTCACGTGCAGCTTACATCAAATTCAAACTATATTTTCTCAAACCCAGTGTTCCAAATAGCTTTCATTCAAATAAATTGCACTTACTGTAAAAGGAAAGTTAATTAAAGAAGCACCCATATGCATTGCGGCAGCAGTCGGATGAGTTTGGATGATGGCGTTGACATCGGTGTAGGTGTTGCTGCTGTTAGTGGTATTAATATGGACCCCCGTGGGATTATTGACTGGGGCTTCGTGCCACCCATAGGAAGCCCTGGAGAGGGGATTGCAGGAGGAGCGTGAGAAGAGCACCCAGGCAATGCGGGAGGCCGCAGAGAGGACGCGCGCAGACATGCAGAGCTACCTCCAGGAGCAGAAACGGGTGGGTGTCCATTGCCGTCCATGTCCTCTCTCGCAATACGTCTGCGCGCGATGGCCACGCATGTTTGTATCTTTGTGTCGGTGATTGTGTCTTTGTGTATGGATCTCTTTCTTGTGAATTAGAATCTGTTGTTTCTGTTTGTCTCCCTGTTTCAGTCTACTGTCTACTCTTCACGGCCATCCGGCAGTGCATTTAGCCTCCCCTAAAAGTGGGAAGCGATACCGTAGTAGCCAGCGCATTGCACTGCAAACCCGGCATCACCGGTCCAATTTACAGCCACTAACCTCTGTGAATGTTCTTCCCCTAGGTTCACTCAGCATTAATGAGTACCTAGTGCTGTGTGTAATGATTAGTCTTGGGGAGACAAAGGCTGCCAGGCGTGGTATTGGCTACATCACATCCTTGTATGTATGTATGTTGAACTTATTTCGCACCGTACGTAGCCAACCGTGCTAATCGGCAATGCGTGTGTCTGCCCAAGTCCAAGTGTGTTTATATCGACACATATCTGCCTTTGTGTATTGATCTCCTCCTGTTTGTGATTTGTATACGTGTGTCTTAGTTTGCAAAGCTAGCAATCTATCTTTGTGTTTCCCCCTTTATCTCAGTCTACACACAACTCGGCGATGTATAGCTCAACGTGTAGCTCACCGATTGCTGCCTCGATTCTCTGTGCACGGTTCATTTCGTGCGGGCGTATTGCCCCTGTCTGTGTAAATGCGCACAGTGGGGCGTGCCGCCAACGCTGATCTGCGTAGCCTGGCGCCGCTTAATTGTCGCAATTTTTGTTCCCCGGAGCCGCAGTTTGATGGCAACCAGAGTGTGGTCCACAGCACTCGCTGCTAATAAACACAGAGGACACTTACTCGAACACCAGCGAGATTTAAATAAAACCTCAAATTGCAAACTGTCTTTACATTATTTTAAATAATAAGCAATTACTCGCGTCGTTAAAAAAACGCGTAATGAGCTGTGCTAAAGATACATTTTTTTCCGCCAATTAAATTTATGGCATTTTTTAAAATTTCCCAACCCCTTCTGTAAATCGGTTAATTCAATGATTTGTGTTCGTTTAAAACAAATAGAAAATAAACCGATGAGTGAAAATGCGCACTGGTCCTGCCGCCTGGCCAATTAAATGACCGGATGTGCAGTGGGGGACGATTGTCGGACGTTTGTGTTAATGATGAAGCCATGCACGCGGCGGCTCGTTGCCTGGCTGTGTAACGAGGTCTTAAGCCCTCTTGAACAAATGTCATTCGTGTGGGTGGTAAAGACGAGCTTCTTCTGAATTTTAACCCGCATTTATGACTTGTAAGTTTTTAACGTGAGCATGTGTTGCGTTGTCCGTCTCAAGAGTTTCGGGGCCATGGCTCCCCCACTGCTTCTGTCTGCCTTTCATGACTTGAGTGCTGGCTGATTTATGTCCATTTCTCTCTTAATTTTTCATCTTCTTGTAAGTTCCGTTCATCAGTGATGGTTTTTCTCACGCCACGGTAAAGACCTCAAAATTTTAACTCAAAATTACGTTTTTTTTCCTCTTATTTATCATCCATCCTTACGCAATGAGTAGCACTGGCCACATACAATGTAAGCATTTGATTCTTAAGTTTCAAATTCACATTGTGAAAAGGTGATTTGCCAGGACACTGTTAACTCAAATAGTTTTTCCGACACAGCGAGAATTTGAGACTTAAGAATATTGCGAGTTACCAGAGGGTAAGGCATTCACACAGTCCATCTATTCTTTTCCATAATTTGTTGCTTTGATGCTTCCTAGTTTAATATATAGGGTTCCATGGCTTTCTTTACCACACTCTGCTGTATAAATACAACATGCGAAATCAGCATTCCTGAGCTATGGCTCGTAGACATGCGAGTCATTATTTTGCTTTAATATTAGTTTGGCAGAGTTTGCTGATGTTGATGTGGGCAATCTGAGCTGAAGCTTTAGAGACGGGGTGCATTACAGAGTCTTTACACTTGAACACCGCAGCCCATACATTTCTCGCAATTTTCATTTTTCCCATTGAATTCTCACCGTCTCATTACATCGCTACGCACAACGACTCGGGGACTCGAGCCCAATCGGTCTCCCGGCGTGACCCGGAGCGGCCACCAGCCTCCGACCCCCACATAGTGAGAAACAAACGACGATCCCGAGTGAGAAACGCCGCCCCGTTCGACAATGAGAATGCCCCGACAACCGAGGTGCGTAGCCGAGAGAACAGCGAGCAAACGGATCGTTGGTGATGCCGGAGGTGGGCTTAGGGGGGAGGGAGTGCCGGGGGTGATGGGGGATGGTGCAGGCAGGGAGCATCCAGGTGTTGTCGGGCCACCTGTCTGGCACGCGGTCTCGTGAGCGCATGCGGCTGGTCCGGGCCGAGGGGCCGGGCGCCAGCAGTGATCCCATGCAACTTAATTTACTGCGCCTGTCGCTGGGGATTAGCGGAGCCCCTGCTATGCGGGTCCCCTCGCGCCCTGCGCTAAATATAGACGGCCTTTAGGAGAGGGAGATGCTCAGGGGCATGATTGTTCATTTTGGGGGTGGTGGAGAGGGACTGGGTTTAGGGAGACCGGGGGGACGGGGGGGGGGGTGCGGGGAGTCATACGTGGAGAGAGGGGTCGGGGTGGTGATGAATCACGGCATCTCGACCGGTCCCCTGCATTCCTCTTGTGCTGCGGTGCCCGCGTCCGGCTCTCCTGGTTAGGTCCCGCCGCTCGCTTGGCGGGGCGATTTCGGTGCGGTGGTGTCATCGGGCAAACATGCCCTCCCCCCGCCCCCCACTGGATTACCGCCTCCCCCTGGCTGAGGCAAGCTGCGTATCATGTGCATGAGCGAGGGCCGCGCTACATCACTGTCCTGCCTGTCGGCACGAAGTATTTTTTTTATTGGACTTTATTATCAGATCAAACATTTTGCATGCGGGATGTGTCACGCTGTTTACGTGCGCTCATTGACGCCGCTACAACTCAATGAGAGATGTTGTAGTTTGAACTTTTTTGTTGATCAACCTTAGCTGTGACCGCCACAAAACGCTGCCGTTTTATTTTTTTCAAGCATGGATGCTGCGCAGGGGATTTGCTAGAGGACGTGATAATTTATTTGAGCTGACTCAATACGCACGTGGTGTTTTCACTCCAATGTGTCTCCGCATATGATGACTTATAAATCAACGCACAGATGCTTTCACCTGATAGCAGAAATTAGCATCCGTTTTCAAAACCTTTTTTCAAACGTTGAAAAAATCTTTGACGAGATTTTACAAATGTTAGCAGATGTAAAGTGGTGTTCAATTTAAAACATAAGTTGACATTAAAGGAGAGCAGTAGCCACAACGGTTTGTGCACTGAATTATAAACTTGTCACAGTTGACGTCAGTGGCGAGTATTATCTGAACTGGTTCTTCTCCCCCAGGATATCAACCCTCACCAATCAAAGTGGTGAAGTATGGTTAAAACAACCCCCATGGCCGACACTGCATAGAGAGTCCTTCATTTAGCTGTGCATTAAAAAAAAGATTAGTCAGTATAACACGTAGGCTTTCACGACCACTATCATCCATAATAGAGGTTTTTGGGTTAGATCGCGTTAATATATAAATGTGTCGTTAAAATCTGCCACCACCCAACACAGCCAACTAGTAAGGGTTGTCGCGTAAACAGAACACCGGTGTATTGGAGAGCCAAGCCACAACATTTACAAACTGAGTGCGACGTTTCGCCAGTAATTCTAACTAGCTTCATCAGGTGACAGACAAATCTGGCTGTTTCTAAATGTTGTGGCTTGGCTCTCCACCACACCGGTGTGCTGTACTAGTGACGAATTGGCCACGTTCTGTTTACGTGACAACCCTTACTAGTTGGCTGTGTCGGGTGGTGGCGGGTTTTAACGACACATTTATATAGTTACACAATCTAACCCCAAAAAACCTCTTATGGATTATGAACCGTGTGTATCTGCACTTTTTCAAGCAGACAATTTGGCTCTGTCAATATCACCTTCCATATCAACATTGATAGCAGGAGTCTAATGGTTAAACATTTTCATTCCATAAAAAAAAACTATTTCCAAAAATTGAACACCTTTACTGAGATTCTACGAAGAGTAACAAATGCATGTTTGGAGGTCACAACATTACAACGACAAACAATACAATATACACGATAGGAGTGCAAAGTATAGGAAAGGTAAGAAAATCACTTTAACAAAAATATGCAAATGAAACTTAACAATTTTTGTATTTTACCAGGTAAAGTCCACTGTATTATATAGCTCTTTTTAAGAAGTGACCTGGCCACAAATGATAGCTCAATGAAGTGGCTTATCAGGTGGAAATGTATAGCAGCCAAATACTCTTAAACACATGTTTATGGAGGTAAAAACCGGAGGACCCGGATAAAAATCCGTACCACCACAGGGAGAGCATGAAAATTCCAAATATACATGCGTGAGAGTCGGGATGGAACCCACGACCTCCTGCATACCAGGCGAGGGAGTTAACATCTCGCCACCGTGGCCCCCCCATGGTGATATGGTGACAGCTTGAAGAGGCCTTCATCCCGCAGTGGATAAATCACGGCTAATGATAATGACTTTGACTCTATGTAAAATAATAACCATGTTGTAATATGAAACTATCATGTAAAAAGTTGCTCAGGATATGATAGACATTGAATGGTGAATACAATTCTCACATCCACACCTTTGGCGATGAAGGTTACATGCAATTCACAACAGGGATCAGTGTTCATTTATTTTTTTCTGCAGAATCCACTGTGTTCTCGTGGAATAAACAGCATTTTCTAATTTCACAACGATCAATGTCATTCTAAGGCCATTGATCTCTAAACATAATGAGTTGATAATAGGGTTTTTCCCCTTTTTTCTGGCAACAACACTGAAGCCTTTTTTACAAGGATTCATGTCTGCATTAACCACAATACTTGCAGTCAAAATGCAAACAAAAACACTGATAATATATGCATTGTCCTTGAAA